TGGCATCTATTGTTGTAGCAGACCTGGTAGTTTACTATTATATCCGGTCTCTTTGCAGTTGGCCCACACATAGGGCGTTATTGTGGGCAGAACAACCCAGGACGTGTCCGGTCTTCAACGGGGATTCTTTCAATGGTATTTTACACCGACAGCGCAATAGCAAAAGAGGGATTCTCAGCAAACTACAGCGTGTCGCAGAGCAGTGTATCAGAAGGTCAGTATTTATCTATCCCGCAGAGCTTCTTGGAAAATATTCTCTGTTATGTCTTCTTGCACACCAGGTGTTGCATGAAACTTTAAAGAAACATTAAATAAATAAGATGGTGGGGAAGGTTTGGTTCTGGTTTGCTTTTTTCTTTTTTTTTTTTTTTTAAAGAACAGCTGCCCTTTGAAAAGCAATGCAAGAAGCAGAATTCTCCTTACAGTTTTATTCCACAGTATTGCCAGGAAGTTGGGATAATTATTGTGAAAAACTGTGCTGACCAAGGAAACACAGGAATGCAGAGCAATTGAACACTTGCATTAAAACAATGAAACACGAACAATGAATGCACTATCCAAAGCCGCCTTTTATTGCATGGAATAAGCTTTGATGATCACTTTCTTGAATAAAAAGAACCCATTTAATATATGTGTTCTTGTTAAACCATTTCACAAGCTATCTAAGCTTTGTTCTCTGTCTCGTATTTTTTTCCCAGTTGCCTCATTTTCATGCTTACCCTTTGGACAGAGAATGAAATGAAGTGAGGGAGACGCAGGAAAATAACGGCTGTGTTACACCATGTCCTTGCAGATTTCTTTGCTTTGCTCAATGATAAAACACACACTTTAAATCAAACTCTCCTTTCTGTGACTTGCTGAGTTTTGAGCAGATTCACCCAGATTTGATGTACTTGTTTAGGCAAAGAAGGAACAAAATAAAAATCAATAAACTGAAATTATCCCTGTTATTCCCCATCTCTCCTCTGCCCCTTGCCTCTTTAACAGCTTTCTTGTAGGTGCATAGCCAGGAAGAGGGAACGGGACAAACCCCAGTCTCTGTGGATGGGAAGCTTCCTCCTCCACCTCTCTCAGATTGTACCTACAGCTAGTTTGGCTTCTCCTTATGTAGGTGCTGTTCCTTACCCCTTCATTAGCTAGCACAGCCAACTTGGGTCCCCATATCCACCTCCTCCACAGACATCCTCCCTGGGCTGTAGAGGCATCATCACACTGGAGCCAGAATCAGTAATATCCGCTATGCTGGGATGCCTTCAGCTCTTAAACACAGGACAACAAAACAGGAGAAGTTAGTGTGTGTGAAAAGGCTTTTGGATGAGAAGAGGAAACATTTCCTATGATGCAGGCTTAGACAGAGGAGTGATTCTTCTCACTTGATTTCAGCCACCCTTGCTCTTTGTGTTGTCACCTCCAGAGGACAACTCAGCCTACTTAGGCACGTGAGCTTTCCCCGGGAGGTACTTGTCCCTCTCAGTAGACTACAAGGAAAGCCCACATGTCTAGATCAAACTAGACACCTACCTTTTGGATATTTTAATATGACTCCCACCTACCATGTCTTGAGTTCTTCGTAGTGGCTCACAGCTCTCTTTCTGATTTGAAGCAGAATTTAATTTACTTTGGTTCTTACCCTAAAGTAGTTCAGTTGCAGTACTTCACGCAAGGCCCCTAATACACTGAAGCAGCACAGAAATGGGAGAAAGGGAGGTGCACCATGGGAAATGCAGTTTGGCAACAAGTTTCGTAATTCAGTTATGGGGCGCCCTAACTACAACTTCTATAAGGCACCCTGATAGCATTTCTGAATATAAGCTTTTGGATCCCAGATAGAAGATTTTAAAGCTTTTTCAGAATATTTTTATTTTCATTGAAAAATCAGAACTTTGCTTATTAAAAGCTCATTTTTCCAACTCCTAGATTTTGAAACCTTCAGCTCAGCACCTAACCCTCTGTTAGAGGTACATCGGCTCCAGAGAAGGTGTGATAAAAAGGAGTGTGTACCCAAATATCAGGGCCTCCACTTCACACACCGGTATTTTACCTTGAACTGCTAATGAAGGGATGAATTATATTAATATACTATGAAGTCCCTGAACAGAAGCATAGACACATGTTATTTTCTCCTACCCTTGCAATGAGGTTGGTAAAACAACTCTGACAGAAGGGTGCATGAGCAGTGTGGCATGAGGATCCATCTAAAGCCACCTGTCTCCCTCGCTTCGGTGGGGGTTGGAGCCTATATTTTTGAAGAGTGAGAGAAGAATTTAGTCTCCATGCCCTATCAGCCTTTGAACTCGCTATGGTGACTGCGTTGTCAATCGATTCTAGATTATCTTGGTAAATTTGTGTCAACAAAAAGAGATTGGATGGAGATGATCAACTCATTTAAAATACAGCATGTTATAGAAAAGGTGATAATTCCCTTAGGTCAATACTCTTCTGGCCTGGATTCAAATTTTGTTGATATGTTTCTCTGCATTGTCAAGGATCAAAAGAAAATGGCTAGCATTTTAATAATAGTTTAAAAGTATTTTATAATTTTTGTAATGGACTAAATAGTTTTAAAATAAAATTATTTTATACAGTCATCTGGTTTGTCTTTCCTGGCTTTGTGCATAATTATGAGTGGAACATGTATTGTTTTATGTCATGAATCCACAGAAGTGCCTGTGCTACCCCAGAAAAGAGAATTCTATTGTCCTATATTGAAATGGCTACAATGCTGGGCTAAAAATATTTGTATAGCATTATTATTGCAGAAATTGCCATGGCAACTCAAATGACAGTATTAAGAATAACACCATAAGCCCAATACTGCCTCACTTAAAGTTGCTAAAGAATTCAAAGTCACATAAAAATAAATTCTTTAGACATTCATATTCAAAGCAGGAAAACGTTCTCATTATTCAAAGTCTAAATCAAAAAGCTGACCATAATAATGATGGTAATTTATTTTTCTTCAGATTTCCAGTGCATGGAACCACTAGGTATGGAGTCAGGAGAAATTCACTCTGATCAAATCACTGTCTCCTCCCAGTACAGCGCTATCTGGTCTTCAGAAAGGTCCCGGCTAAATTACCCTGAGAACGGATGGACCCCAGGGGAAGATTCTGGCAGAGAATGGATACAGGTAAAAAGATAACGTTTTAAAGATATTATTAATAATACTCTGTGGAGTTTATTGAATGTGGAGAATGCAAAAGAAAGAAAAAAAGCCACCACAGTAAAGTACTTCTGCATAATCTAAGAATCATTGCAAGTGAATAGCTCACATTCCCTATTAGACACACAAAAAAAGACTTGACTCCCAACGGTATAAAAAAAGAAAAGGTCAGGAAGATTAATTCTTCTGCTTCCCACATCTATTGTTTTTTCAGTCTTCTGGGCACAAATAACAGAGATTTTGGTTTAGTGGAAAAGTCAATATTAGTTTAACATGCACTTAAAGTGGAATGTCCCAGTAAACTGAGCATGTGCTATGTCTCTAGCTGATTACAGTTAAGCATTAATACAGAGTGGTGTTTTCATGCACTCAGATTTCACCTCAGAAGACCTATGTCCCTTCTAGAATACGTTACATACAGAATGAGTTTAGTGATCTCTGTCTAGTGGCTATTCGTCCATGTCCTTAAACACAACATTCATTAGCAAGATGGACCGCCTTGGCTTTGCTCTGTTAATACAGGAGAAATCCTGCAAACATTTGACCCCACGGAGAGATGCCTTGAGTTCAGTTGGTCTACTTAGGCTCATTGTTTGCTATTTACCATCGGGTCCATAGCTTAATGGCACGTGATTCCTGAATAGGTTAGAATTTTTCATATGAATTATGGTATACAAGTAATTTGTACTAGCACGCAGTTATGGATATCATTAGGTGAAAAAAATACTGATTTGTCTCAATTGTAGGTTGCCTTACACTTGTTAGTTATGATCTAGATTCTATTTCTGTTGGCAAAAGCTAAGAGAAAGGCTTGAGCATATTAGATCAATATAACTAATACTGAAAACTTGTTCATATATTGGAAGCATTCCTCCTGCTTCTGTTGTTTTCTATAGGAAATTACTAACTGGCATATAAAACCAATGCCTTATTAGCCGTCCATACGAATGTTCACATTGATGTTTCCTGTGAGGTTTGCTGTCTGCAAGAAAGCTTAAAAACATGTTGAGTAGTAGTTAGTAAAGGGAGGAAAGAGGGGGAAATCTTTCATTCCTGATCCGTTGCACACAATGGGACTCTCAGGTGTCCTGCTCAGGGGCCCCTACACATCCTGAGCTCTTGGCAAAGTGGTAATCACGTATGATGGACCTAATCAGACTTCAGAGTGGCAAAAAAAAAACCTGTTGATCCCTTTTCCTTACTTAGGAATAAATGTCAAAATCTCCCCAGCCTTATCTAAGTGCAAGGCTTGTTATTAATCATTGCCACTTGCAATTCATGGAATGCACATGAAAAAAGGATGGAATGCATCAGAATCAAATTCCATGTGTTTCATCTGGTCGGAGGGCCGCCACTTTTTCTCTATTTCCTTCTTTTCTGCTGTCACTTACGTATTTATGACTGGATAATCAAAACAAGAGAGCTAGTCAAATGTCATTCATGTGTTCCGTGTGCTTATTAGCTTTATTAAGTTATGATGACTACATACATACGTATATAGCTTAATCCTTTCACTTAGAACTAGATCTTTCTGAGGAAAAGTTTCAAAGGACTCTTTTTAACCATTAACTTTTTTAATAACAAACACATAGCAGAATCCAAGCTACTCTGGGGTTTATGCTTAAAACAGCTCAGGGTACCTCAGGCCTCGTGCCCATGAATTTCTCAGTCTCCTTTGCCTTCTGCCATAAACCAGGGTGCTCAGGGCCTCAAAACAACCACTGAGCATAATTTTTTAGCAGCTTTACACTGCCTATATCTACCACATGAGCCAAGGAGTTGGTGGTTGTTTGTATGCTGCACTGCTCATGCCACAGCTCTCACCTACTTCCCCCAGCCCCTGGTTTGGAAGAGGCAGCATGAACCCTTTCCCTGAGCAGCCTAGCCCTAGGGCATCTCCTCCACTGCCCAGGGCCCATGTGGAGGGACTGCACTGACAAGGCAGACTTCATGACAGAGCAACTAGGCTGTAGCAGCCTTCACTGAAGAGCTGGGTCCTGTTTGCAAGACTGAGCCTACAAAGTCTTGCCTGAAGATGCATTGTATTGAATAGGTGTGCTTAACACGTGCTGCAGAAGCAGTTTAATTAATGCTGTTAATCATTTCTACCACTCCACCTGTGTAGCAGAAGCAACTGGAGATTGAGTATGCCAACCCCTGGCTTTTCACAAGGTACAACAGTTTAACTTATCTTTGGTTCCATTTGTGTCAGGAGGATATTAATCCTTACATTTATTCATTACGGTTTATTTCCACTCACATCACTAATGCAGACTTCCAAATGTGTTCTAAATGCTTTCCTGTTAAACTTAATTGACAATCTTGAGATGGGTGCTAAGTGCTTCAGACTATCCGGGACCTCAATAACAGGGTCCTTGCACATGTGAACTGCCACCTTCAACAAAGGCTTGATGCCATTGGCAGTAAGCACACGGTGCGAGTTTGTATCTGGATAAAATATTGAAATCCCATGTTTTCTCTGTACAAATATCCCCAGGAACAGATGTTCATCTCCATAAGAGCTTACAGACAAACAACCAAGGACATGCAACTAATAAAATACTCTGAAATTACCCATTGAAAAAAATCATAATATTTTATAAAAGGAGGAAGACACTTGTATATGAAGGACTGAGGTCACTTTGTTCTGTTTTGTTCTGTATGCTATTGTAAACTAGTCATTTATTTGAAGTATTTGCTTTTGTGTAGTACAGCCTAAATGGATTTTTGTTACATAGTGCAAGAACTCTAGAAAACATTCAACAGCAAAAAACAGGCTGAAGGATATAGCAACACTGAACCTGGAACTTTTTAAGTGAAAATTTATGCCTGTATGCCCTTGTCTGAAAGACAAAGATTTTGTGTGTATCATTATTCATTAATCTTTTCACGATTGCAGGTTTCCATACCTGCACACGTACTGCAGCTGGTTAAGTAGTGATGTCTGCCTTCAAACTGCTAATATGCATATGCAACTAGGGCATATATATGAGATATGTACAATCATACATGGGTGAAGCAGCTTGAAAATTCAGCTCCAAATACTAATTTCCTTAGTGTATCATTTTTTTTGTATAGGGGAAATATTATAGTTCTCCTTTCCCTTCCTTTTACCCCTCCCTTCAAGGTTAATGTTTTTGCTAAAGAAAACAGAAAACCTCAGTTAAGTATCAGCAAAGGGAGATTGGTATCTACAGAGGACGTCTAGAGGGCATGCGATATGATTGTCTCCTTTGAGGTGTTGACGTCTTTCGGACCATTTGGCTGAAAAGAATTAGGAAAATAATGTTGGCTTGTTCTTAGCAATGGATTTGCATGAATTCCATCTGTGGATGTGGAACCCATTCTTTGGTGGAAGAACTAGATTGCTCCTTTGTGGCTGACAAGGTACTAATTCCTGAGTCCATCTGAATGCTGCCTGTTTACTGGGCTCTGCTAGGTGAAAGCTGTCTGTCCATTCTTTCCTTAGTTGTTTTGAAATAAATGTCAAAGCTTAGACTCAAAATATCCATAGCACAGCCACACCATAAGTCTGCACAGTACTTTCTCCATTTTAGTTTTACCTTCAAACACACTTTTTAAATTGCTTGACTAACTTGAGATTTGGAGTGACTCCATAATCAGAAACAGAGTCACTCCAGATTGAATTTCTTCTTTAAATACAGATTAATAAAGTCTGTGGATTTTCTAATACGAACGGAATAAAGATACGCATGAGGCAAGGGCTGCCAAAAATAAGCATGAAGTTAGTTTATTGTCATATGGGATGTTATTAGCTCCTCAACCTTAAGCTCAGCCTACTTGTTTATTACACTTACGTTTCACACACTCAACTGCCCTTCAGTGTGAAATAGCATAATTTAAAATAAAAAATAGAAACAGCCCTTTAATGTACTCAAGAGCAGGGAACTGCCATTGCAACGTAAGTCATTGTCCCTCATTAACGTATCCTTTCACAGGAAAAATAGTATAGTGTTTCCATTTCTGTAATCTGAACAACAAACACGTTAATAGGTATCAATTACCAGCCAGTTTCAGTACTTAGAACCAGTAAGAAGGCCAGCGCGAGGGTTTCACATCTGGTTTTAGTGAAACTGTTCCTGTCTGTGGTATTTAAAATTTAAAGAACTCCTGTTATTGTGCAATTGGGAATCCTAGGGGAGCACAATGTTAATGAAATCCATAACGTGCAGGGATTTTATGATTGCATTTTCAAGGCATTCCTTCAAAAGGGACGACTGATTTCTGCCATGGCAGCAGTAATTGTGTTTTTACAGAGTAGATTTAATGTTCGCATTGAAGAACAGCAGTTACATTTACACTCATCTGAAAAAGTAACATGCAAAACCCTGACATTTAGGGAACTTTCTGCATCTTATTTTTGAAGCCTTTGAGCAGGAGCCATGGGCCACTGGGCATGGCAAGCCCTTGCGCCTGAGTGACGTTGCCCCACTGGGTGGTGGCCACAGCCCCGCTGGGTGGTGGCTGCAGCCCCGCTGGGTGGTGGCCACAGCCCTGCTGGGTGGTGGCCATAGCCCCCCAGGGAGGCGCAGGGGCGGGGGGAGCTCCAGGAGGAGCGCCTGGCCGGATAGGTGCTGTCAGCTTGAAGACACTTGAGACCCATGTGTGTGTGGTTTTGAAGGGAGACTGATTGCCTATTACCAGGGTCACTGGGAACCTGTGCTGTCATCAATTCTCATAATGGTGTGGGTTTTCAAACCCGCAAGGAGCAACACCTTCTGGGTACTTTTACTGCAGAATCTGCATGTTTTCTATCAAAATGTTTCTTCTAATGCATATAACACAAATCTTTACACTCCCACCAAGCGGGATGATAGTTTCTGGGTGGCACAATTTTTCTCTCATCCTGTAACACTGAGACCTCCAGCTTGCCCAGAAGGCAAAGCATGTTTGTTAGTAACACAAGATCTTCAGTTCATATTATGGCTGGGGTTGGACAAAACCAT